CGCTACAGTGCAACGTTATCGTAGCTAATGCAATTCTCGATCGTTTGGTGATACAGGAAATGACGTTGCATGTGAAATCGCGCGCGATCGAGTGCAAAAATGTGCCTATTAGTATTATTATCAATCGCCAAAAAGTGTGGCAGATGGGCGATTATCGAATTCGATTGCGTGACATTGAAAACATAACCATCTGCTGTTTTTTTTTCGAGTGTTGTATCATTTACGGGCGGAAATCAATAAAACTATCACTTTTGCAGATTATTTTTACGATGAATTCTACTTTAGATATACTTTAGAAAGGAAGAACAATTTTAAATACTGTGTGTATAATTTGAAAAACTAACAAAATAAAATAAGTTTTTATAAAAATATCCAGAACTTTTATACTTAATGTAATTTTAATAGATTAAGCTACTTAAGTAATATTATAAAAAAAAATCATATTAGAAAATATGTGTAGTAATAATTCAGAGAAAAATGTGCTTTAATTAATATATCAAATTTCACGAATATAAAAACACATTTATAACTGCTGAAAAAAAGCACAAATAAAGACGATAAAATATAAATAAATTTTTAAAATAAAATCTATCTTTGAGTTTCTTTAACACATAAAATGATAATGTAAATAAATAATAATAATTATTAATGAATTAATTAAGCTCCAAGATTTACTCATCTCATTTTTTAGTACAATTAGCGATGCTATTGATGTTTAACTCGATAGGCTTCCGTCATCATTAGACTTTCAAACCGGCTTCCTCGGTTTCTTCGGCTTACGCGACCGCTTTTTTCTCCGCCTCGTAAAAATTTCTATTTAATTGTGAAACGCGTGTCACAAGTAAGGAAGGTCGGGGGAAATAGGCAATAACGAAGGAAGGAGGTGAGAGACGCGGGAAGAACGCATTCTATTTATATATCGCAGTTCGCGGTCGCGAATTCCCCAGGCGAGAAAGCGAATCGTCACGTTTAGGCGAGCAGCCGAATTGACGTGCAGAAAGAGAGAAAGAGAGACTTAAAGGCCATTGCACGCAAAGCGACATGAGAACATAATCGTCTTGATCAATCAGATATTCGTCGTATTAAAGAACTCAGGGAAATGAAATCTGAAGCGGAAAAAATTAAATTTAATTGGGAAAAAATGTAATTTATATCAATTGTATAATTTATATGAACTTATATACTTGGATTAAATCCAATTGAATGAAATATAATTTCTGCAACCTGAAAATGTATTTCCTAAATGTCTTAGAAAAACGATTCAGTTCATTGCTACGTTGAATCTCACGTTTGTACCGTGTCCTCGTGAACATTTCTTCTCTAAAGAAGCCACGATAATGCAACGAATCGTTGTCGGACGGTCCCGTTACCGTTAAATCGCGGAGCGACAGACGAGCCGGATTTGTCGCTTTTTACCGGCCATATCGGGCGTACCGATCGATTCCTGTTACTTTGTCGAATGTGCATTCCGACGTGAGCGCGTTCCAGAGCCGCGAATATGCAGAGACGGAGACGTGAAAGGAACGCGTATACCCTTGCGGAGAAACGAGGACTAACTTTGTGCTCGGTTTTCGGGCACGAGAATCCTCCTCGCTCTCTTCCTCGCGCGTTGCACTTGCAGAGCTATGCACGGACGCTCGAAAATAGACGTCAAGCATACAAAAGCGATGGGATAGCGACACTGTATACATAGCGCTAATTACGGACCGCGAATAACGCGTAAATAGCGCACCGATATTTATAGAGCCCAGACGGGCACGTGCACGGATATTCGATATCTTTTCGAATCGATGCAGGATGTTGATGTCCTAAATTCTGCAGTCGCGGTCGCATCGTCTGCTTGCGATGTCAGACTGAATACTTAAACTGGCAGAATAGAATGATACAAGCGGATTCGTCGTTTCATCGTTCCGCGTGTTATCAAAGCAAATTAATCTATTAAAATATTCAATTAAAATATCTGTAAATTAAAAACAAATATAATATATCTTTAAATTTTCGTGAAACTTGCCGATACATCATATATGTGTATTTTAATCGGTAGAATTTTGTCGAGTATAAACAGTTGCGAATTTTCGGATTTGTTAATATCTTATCTTATCTTATTTTTCTCTCGCAAAGAGAGCTAACGTAATATCTAAGTGCTACAATATTTTGCACGTTTTAATTATTGAAGTTTTACTATTACTAAGATACTTCGAAACTTTCTCGATGTTATACGATACGGCGGCGGCTCGTTATACGATCAGGAAGGAGCTACTGAAATCGCACAACCGGATCGCGCGACGTTATCGCGTGACTTTATGTAACGCTCGGCCACGCGATATTTAAAATCGCGCGCACACGTCGTTTTGCGGTGAACCGACGAGCGATATGCTCCGAGAATTTCACGCACGCGGAGTCGACGATCTCGGCGGAAATATATCCGCGTGAAATGTAATGCGAATATAAACGGCCGACGATGAGGTACATTCGTACAAAATCTAATGGGAATGTAGACGGCCGGCGGAGAGATGCATTTACGCGAAATGTAATGAGACTGTAAATGGCCGGATGGATAAATATGTAGAAGATGCTATCGAAAGAACACGTACTTTCTCTCGACACCAGATTAGTCAGTGATTCGGGATCAATCTTTTCTTTGCCAAGAACTTTTCGAATACTAACGTTGATAGAGACTTTTCACTTCAAATTGAGAATTATAATACTAGTATTAAATTTTAAATAAAATTCCTGCCTTTCGAAAGAAACTATGTCTAGATTTCTTGCGGTGGCAATTTTAGATTATCGTTATCAATAATGTTCTTATTTTGAATATTAATTGATATATATATATAATATTAGATATCAAATAAAATTTCTCTTGACAGAGTTAATTCTTATTTTTCTCATCAGTGTACTTTGATTCATTCAAAGTATTCGAAAACATTCGACAGGAATTATTCTTGGAATGCAATGTACAACGCATATCTACTTTTCTTGAGAAACAAAGCAAAAAAACATTTGATGATCAATTTGATTAAACTTGATCGATCAAGTACTGATTTTATTACTTCAGAAAAGTAGATATTTGCTAATTAAATAAAGATATATTGTATTCCAAAAATAATTTTATCGAATGTTTTTAATTAAATGTACTTTAGTCAAAAATGAAAATTAATTTCGTACTACACAAAATTTTACTTGAGATTTGATATTAATTAACGTCGAAATTGATTATCGATTGATGATAGATATAAAATCATAGATATGTTTATTCGAAAACAAAAACGATCAATCTAGCAATTTGATTTTTAGCAAAGTAACAGAGTGACCATGAAGCTGGACGTTAGTTACACCGACCATTCGCATATCATCGGCAAGGGCGGCCTGACGATTAAGCGAGTGATGGAGGAAACTGGCTGCCACATCCATTTTCCAGACAGTAACCGCAGCAATCACCAAGACAAGAGCAATCAGGTCTCCATTGCTGGCGAGATGGAGAGCGTCGAACGCGCCCGCGCCCGTGTGAGGGTAAGCTTTCTTACAAGACGTGTATCTAAGATGCCTCCGAAGACATAAATTCTATCTATACCAATAGCAGTTAAATCAATAAAAGGAAAATCAATATTTTAAGCATCCAATATTTATATTCTAATCAAAATTAAAATTTTAATATACATCGCGTAAATCAAATTGAAATGCGAGGAAAGATCTTATTTCTCAATTAAGTGCACGCTACTTTACTTCAATTAAGAATTTTGATTTTAAGCTACCAAATTTTAATGTTACATAAAATATTATGTGTTATGTAATAAAAATTTCTGATCGAGGGTAAAAAAGGTATGATTTTTAGCAGATCCTATATAAAAGATGGGTTAGAAACGAACAACGAACGAATAGCGAATGTTGACAAATGTTTTGTTTGCATGAAACAAATGTTTTAGTAGCAAAAATTTGCACTCGCTCGATGCATATACCTATCTTAGAAGGAGCGTTCGTGACATAATAAAGCACCGACTCATAATTGCGTCTTCCTATTTTAGAATCTGACGCCTCTGATCTTTTCGTTCGAACTGCCTATAATGGGCGCGTCGCAAAGCACGCCAGATTGTACTTCGCCGTACGTCGTAAAGATACAGGAGAAGTACAACGTACAAGTGATGTTTCGTACGAGACCGAAGCTACACGCCACCTTGGTGGTCGTCAAGGGATGCGAGTGGGAGGTTTCTCAAGTCAAGGAAGCGACGGTTCTGCTGATCCGTTATATGTGCAAAAACTTAGCTGTGAGTAATAGTAATTATCAAAAATCCGAGCTGTTCTTTTTAAGAATTTGAAAAAAAATAGCTTAAAATTAAATTGAAAAAAGGAAATTAAAATTTCTTTAATTCTCTACTAAATCTTGTAAGCGCATTTGACGTTAGACTATTATTTTGCGCTTAATTTTCTTTAATACTTTCTGATTTAATAAAAATGTCTAGAATTTACGTCATGTTACGTCATCTTTTTTCAATGCTTTTTCGGAAAATCAATTTTTATCTAAAAGCTAATAGCACGAACATTTGTTTTTCTAGAGTCAAATCCAAGTACAAATGTCGATGGAGATTTCACCTCAACACCATAGCATCGTACTAGGGAAACAGAGTAGCAATCTGAAAATGATTATGACGCGTACTGCCACACAGATTATGTTTCCCGACGCTGGTGATCCGAATATACCCAGCCTCAAAAAAAGCAACGTCACTATTACTGGCGCCATACACAATGTTTACTTGGCACGACAACAATTAGTGGTAAGACAATGCGTATCCGAATCTCTATAATTAATTCCAAGTTTCCTAGCTGTTTTCTTTCCGCGTCTAGAGATGTGTACATACTAAGATGACAAGTTTTCTCCTATTTAAACATTTTCTAAAAAATTTAGAGTCAATCTACTTCAAGATAAAATTTTATATAATATTATTTTTCTAGTTTATAATTTCTATGATATCGTATATTGTAATTTTCAATGCTCGGTGTGTGCGTGTGTATGTGTGTGTGTATTAATCGAAATTTAAAATATTGCAAAATAAAGGAAATAAAAGAATAACTATTATTACGCGTTTGCAGGGCTCATTGCCATTGGTACTCATGTTCGATTTACCGGAGGACTCCATGTCCGCTTCCGTGGATACCGAAAAAATCTCTCAGCTCCAGACGTCCCTGGACGTGTTTATTAATATTCGGCATAAACCGAAACAAAGCACGCTCTCTGTGATTATAAAGGGAATTGAGAGAAACGCTGGTAATATCTACGAGGCACGGAAGCAGCTATTGGGGCTAGATGAGCCTAGGGTTCACGCAGAGATACCGGCCACTTATCACATTCCAAATGCCGGCAGTATCTTTCAAGCTAATTCCAATAATAACAATGACGTCAGTGAGTATTGTTTCTTGAAACTGATTGTAGTATGAAGAAATCTTACGCCACTAGATAAAGAGTTTAAATGCTCTACGTAGGTTCTTTTTCAATTTTTCTACAATTTTTCATAAATTGTTTAGTCACTTTCTTTCAATGAATCTTCTTTAGTTTTCAGTAAATTCGTCTATTTGTAATTCATTGCGTTTTTCTCTAATTTTCATAATTCGATAAAAATAAATATTTTCCTTTTTTTTTTTGTAATTAGGTACCAATAATAATCTGATCAGCAGTATGGCGGATAACTTTTCAAGCATGTTGAACGTAAACACGCAGACTCCACCCTACTGCGTGTCGCCGCTTCCGCACTCACCGAATTCCATGGGACTATCATCGCCGTGGAGCCACCTCACTCATTATATTCCGTCCATGTGCGCGTACCCTTACCCTCACCTGAACCACCTGCTGACGACGCAGCACATGCTGCACAACAACGTGATGGGATCCTCTCACGGCCCCCATGGATTATCAAACCATGTGATGCCACCTGGTCTTGGACCGTTTCACTCTAACGGTGTGTCGACCAGCTTTTCTGGTATTCATGGTTTGAGCGCCAACTCGTTGACGGACAGCAAAGAGGGTAGCAGTGGTAGGTGATCTTCCATCGGTTTATCATATATTCACAAATTTCAATTTTTCTTACGAATTTAACTCTTTCACCATCACGTGTGTAAATGTTTACATTTTTTTTAACAAATCTTTTGTGACGATATGATTGACTTGCGTAATTTAAAATGAAGAGTGGAAATCACACACGACAATTACGTCAATAGTTTTTTTCGAAAGACAGTGATACAAAAGTTCAAATACTTTTCCAAGTAAAAAAAAAACAAAAAGTGCATGTGTAGTATTATTGGATCTAAAATTGTAATACAAAAATGTTTCTTCAATACTTACTCGAATTTGAAATTGTATTCTATACGAAACTGAATTAGAAGACACAAAAGTAAAAGTATAATTTCAAGTAAAAATGATTATATGGTATTGCCGTGACGGTCAAAGTATTAGTATTCATTCTGATATAGTTTGATTTCCGCTTAAATTTCCACAAATATTTATACATCCAAGTTGAATCAATTTCTAACAGAATTTATGAATTTCTTTACAGCTTATTCTTCGCTAAGCAGCGTTTCCAGCTCTCTATCTAGTCCTGCCATCAGTCCTCGTAACATTTCACCAGTCAATCCTACAGATACTAGCTCTAACTTAAGTAAGTCGAATGTTTTAAATCAACAATCTATTAACAAATTGCGGAAATCATAATAAACGCTTATTATTCTTCTAGCGGATTTATCCAGCATGTTGTCTGATTTACCAGTCACCGATCGACGTGCACCTGGTTGCGAGAAGAAATCACTAGAGATGGCTGCGCAGCAGAATCTCACGCCCTTCGACTACGAGCAGAAGAAGCTACTAGCCACGAAGGCGATGCAGAATAAGCCGAGCGGCAGCGATTTCCGCGTGCCGACATCTGCTTGGTCTGGTTATGGGCTTAGCCAGAGCATTCCACCCATAACTTCGAGCGAATTAAACAAGGTGGTTACACAGAATTTCTCGATACATAAAAAAATTATTAGATTTATCAGAATCTATGTGACATTTCTAGCGATATTAAAAAATAATATTCACGATTTAAGAAGAACACGTAATATTTAAAATACTCTTTAAATCGATTGAGTTATTTCCCTGAAGATAGCCAGACAAGAATCTTTCGGCGAAAAAAGTCGATTTCTAAAATATGTTTAACAAAACGGCTGTGATTGAGGGCACTGAGATAAGAATTTTTTTTTAATCGGATGCAGGAGCTGACGTCACATCCCTCAGATTTGTGGAAAGAACCGACCACGCCAGTCGGTTTCAGTACCGAGATGGACTTCAGTAGTATTATCTCGAGCAAGGACCGCGTTGGACAGATCGGGATGGCTTCGAATTACATGGATCATACGCCGACTTCCCATTTTGAATAAGATCACGTCGTCCCATCGTTACAACGATCTGGCCAGCATGCTAACCAGCATCGGCTTGGACAAGTATATACGTGAGTTGAAATTTTCGTAACAATCGCGCATTGTCTATCTGACGCCATTGCTTTGCTTTTACTGTGTTTTTTTTCTTCTTCTTTACTCCCTTTTTTTATTTGTTCTTCACTACTTCGGCTTGAGAGACAATATCGCTTCTTTGCTTTTCGCTCGCCAGGCTTGTTTACGTCTCACGAAGTGGACATGGCCACGTTTCCTTCTCTGACCGAGAAAGATCTCTGCGAAATCGGAATTACTGCTTGGGGCGCAAGGCGCAAGATAATGCTATTAATATCCGGTACGTGGACTCTACATGTTAAGTGAAATATTTTCTTTGCTTTACTTCCTTTCCGCTCTTCCGCTCTAGGCGTTTGGACAATTGGAAATGTATTGAGAACGAACGAGCAAAATTATTTTTATAGCCGAAATCTAGTTGTATTCCTTTTCCTGATACTAATTTTTCATTTCTCTCTCTCTTTCAGAAATGAACAAACGAACTAGTCCATTTTCCGGAAGCGCGGCGCCCGGCGCCGAACGGAAGTCATCCTTGCCGTCGGCGTCGTCGTCGTCGCTTGGATGCAACTTGGACACCAAATGGTAAGAGAAGAACGATCGCGTGCATGTTTATTTTCGTTCCGAAGGCGACAGCGTACCAGCGTTCTCGGCGCGGATCCGAGGTGTCGTGTATCAGCCACAATTACGAAGAGTAATACGTACTTAATAATGCCGATTGTGCGTGCAACTGCGGAAATTATTGGCCGTTATGTATGGTGTTTGGGTGGAATGAACGATTCGCGAAATTTGCTAAAACGAAGGAGACTACTTCGTTATCCATCGCGTGTGTACTAACGCGAGATGGACAGCCAAGCAGTTTCCAGGTTGATGATTTGAAATTCGGATATATATATATATCGAGAGAAGAATCAACGGAGAAAGTTATTTTTGTGGCCGGGAATTGGCTGTATCTTTTTTTTCTTCAATTTTTTTTCGCTATTCTCGGCGCTCGCCCGGAAGGTGCCTTAGGATTTAGGATTAATCGTTATTATTTCTCTGCTGGTTGTACACTTGTTTTTGTTCGTTATTCTGTGTTGTTGCATCCGCGTCGCTATCGTTTCTTCCATTGGATCTTGGATCCTATGAATTTTGTGACCCAATTAACGCTTTCAAACAAACGTGCTAGTTGCTAGTAAAAAAAGCATTGTGTAAAATTACGCTTAAATTGTTTGCGAAACGTCGACGCGCGCGTGCCACTTGTTATATCGTGTGATAATTCGATGACCGGATGATCAGTATGTGTAAGTGAATGCATGGATGTGTGTACGTATGTGTGTCTGTGCGCGCGTGTGTGTATGCATGTGTGTGCATGAAATGTTAGGCAAAAATGTTTCGAGGAAAAATTGAAAAATTTAAGAATTGTCAGTTACTTTAGAAATTTAGAATGAAATGCGATGGGCGAGGGATGTCCCGTGTGTTCAGCGGCCTTTCGTCCTAGCAAAAATTCACGTATATTTAATTCAGACTAAGCTCGAATCCAACCGTGAGTCGGCCGTTGTAATTGAAATTCTAAGAAAAAAACGACCAATGCGAATCGGTGATTTGATATGTGTGCAATAACCAAATGCAGTTTGGACGGACAGATTTCGCACGCGATTGCGATTTCGAGTTTTACAAAGTAAGTATAAGTTACCAAATATTTATTAATTATTTCGCGAAAGACGCTGGACGCACGTCAAACAATAGACCGCAAGAACTTTTCGTGTAAAGCATGCGTTGAAAATAGAACGGTGTAAAACGGATTCTATAGCGCAAGTATTTCGTGAGTCACTCTCCACGTATTGCGAGCGATATTTTCCGAACAGCTGATCGAATCGAATAACGATAACGAAGATATAATTCGCGATAAATCGTCGCGTTAATTAGGATCGCCTTTACTATCACATTGAAAAAAGGATCATCAATCCTAAACTTGGCAGAGTCAAGAAAAATTGATCTTAAAACTATATTATAAAAATGCGAAAAATATAAAAACTGAATAATTATATAACCATTATCTGATATATAAGGATTAAAACACAAAAACTAGAAGAACATAAAATTTACAAATTTATGCGATATGCAGAAATGCAAAATTAATCTTTGCATTTCATGAAGCTTGCTTTTTTTAGCAACTAATTAATTTTTCTACGATATTTATGACATAAAAAGATAATTATGATGGTAATTCGGACGAGGTATGCAAGTATGATTTATATAGAATTTAAGAACTTGAAAACGATATCCACAAATTGTGCCAAGTTTAGATTCTTTCGATTATCCTCGCATGCAGAGAGCTTTACTGGCCGCAGTCGATTTCGCAAAACGATCGTTTTATAGACATAAGATATATCTCATTCTCGGTATAATTTATTACAAATTTTAAGCATTATTTGTTATTTTTTTTTTTTTGGAACAAAGGAATGAAAGCGTTAGGTAAATGAGTTCTTGATTCACGCGCACATTATTATTTAAAAATTAATATAACGCGTTATCCACATCGAACCGGTATTTAAAATCGAAAAAAATACTATTGTCACTTATTTTGTAGAGAATGTAAAATCGGTTCTTTCGTGAAATCTTCGAATCGCGCGACCATTGATCCACGATCGCCAATCTCGTGTGAACATATTTATCGTCAGGTAATCCTACGTGAAAGTCGAAATGAGAAAAGCACAATCGCGCGATCGAGCCAATCGAACATGCCTAACGAACGATTTTACTGCGAAGAGTTCTTGACTAAGTCTTTTGCGAAATCTTTTTAAGCGCGTAAATTATTTGTGCGCTCGCGAGCTAGATTGGGACATTAAAAGTAAATTAATGAAAAAAAGAATATTTTCCAAATACGTGATATAATATTGGACTGTTCGGTTCTATTGTCAGTTACTCGTTTTTTTTCTTTTTTTTCGTTCAATGGTAATAAAGATGATGGTGTAAGACAGAAAGCTTCCAAAATCCTTCAATCTGATCGTAGAAAAAGAATTGTAAGGAGATGTGAATGAAGATGGTATGCTGCATTCTCAGAAATTGAATAAATTAATTTTGCATGGATAAAATGGTACAGAATATAATAACATATATAAAAATTAAAAAATTCTAAATTTCAAATTTTAAACTGTCATATCTCTGCTATACATAGTTATTCATACTATAACTTTAGGACTAATATAATTAATAACTGTATTTGCTATATCAATGACGCGGCATAACTTTTAATAAATTTAATTCTATTAGATCTCACTGCTAACTTAATTCAATTTTAAATTGCAGAACAAAAATACATAGAAAGAGTCATCTATAATAATGTTCTTTCAATTTTTATCTCATCTCAATGCTACATATCACCTTCATTTAATTGCATCTGCATTTGCCGTCTTAGGTGCGTTTTCGCAAGAGGCAAGAGGATATTTTTGTGTGGTAGCGATTTGTTGTAATACCGATCGTTGTATTTCTAAAAGGGGAATCCTTAACGGTAAAAGGATATCTCGTCGAGTACTGAGAAAGATGACACTCTGTAACTGAAAAATACGCGAGCGAACAAGAATCTTGTGTAATATATCCACTATCGCTGCGGATAAAAATGTATATGCATAGGCATAATCGTGAAGCAACGAAGCAGCGCAAGCATTCTCGAGTTTGAAAAACACTCGTTCAAAAATCGCCGGTACTCCGTCTCAAACAGGGCATTTCAAATTCCAAGAGCTTGAGAAAAGCAATCTCAATGTTAAACATTAAATTGTAGATTTATTTTAAACATAATATTGCAGAGGCAGAAAATATAAGACATTTTTTAATATCGAGAAAATTATATTTTTGTAAAATATATTTTGAAAATAATAATTTATAATTAGAACCATTATTAATTTATAATAAAATAATAATTATAAATTATTTTCTCTTAATTATATCTTTCTAAATTTTAGTCTTTTTTCCTGATATTTGTCTGCCTTTGCAATTTCCAAAAATATCGCGATCTCGGAATTCGATGTGAAATACCCTGCGCATGGCGAGAACATCCCTTTGCCTGCAAGCAATCGACGATTTCTTTGCATAGAATGTATCTTAGTCTTGAAAGAAAGCTGTCAATGTTCCTACGTAAATACGTACTGATCACAAGCAAGATTTAGCGTATATGAATAATATATAAATATATAAATAGCCGCGAAAATTAGTGTTAAAATAAGGAGAGAACGCGTATGCGAGATAAAGAACGACAAATAGAAGCTTCTAGCGCTCCAGCGCGTCTTAATTAACGAGAATCGATTGGAAAGAGAGAAGACACGCCCAACGTCTTCAAACTGTAAAATCACAGTTTTTTCACTGTTATTTTTCTAGTCTGCACACTTAAAACTTTCTGAACACATAACATGACAAACTTCTCTTTCTCTCTCTCTCTCTCTCTCTCTCTCTGTGTCTCAAAAAAAGATAAAATTAATATATTAAAATCATAATATTAATGCGTATGATTTTACGATCTACACAATGCGTTGAATTCTCTTTCAAATTGTACGTATCAAATGTATAGTATCGTGAGTATATTTTTTCACTATCTTTGCATCGAAAATGGGGCGGAAAAAATATTGCAAATTAATATTGTCTCATTATATTAAACGATGGACTCACTCTTTTCTACCAAACTCATCAAGCTTTGCACACCAGTTTATACAAATTGTTCAGAATAGATTAAGCTCATAATTTGCAAAATTCTCTTCAGATATGATTTAATATTTGAAAAGAACAAAATATGGACATAATCTATTTTAGTTCTCAATGTCTCTAATAATTTTCATTTTTCTAGTTTCAAAATTTCTATGAAAAATATATCAAAATAAATGCAATCTCATAAAATAACAATAGTATTGCTAAAAATTTTAGAACATTTCAAGTCTACAAAGTTATTCGTTGCGCCATAATTTCATTTCTTCATTTTAATGGTAGATTTATTATTGTTTATATTATTCAAAAGTATATGCTTCAATTAAAAAATTCCATGAACTAACTTACTTTTTAGAACTCGAGAAGCAATTAAATCTCAAAATTTAGATTAAATTAAATTTAATTCCAATTTGTTTAAAATTATTGGAATTAAATCATTTAATCCATAATTTATTGGAGATATAATATGTAATTTAAGTTTCAATTAATTATAATTTCAATTGTAGTATTTTTAAGATTAATTTTCTCAAATCTTTAGAAAGAGGAGCTAAATCGTTACATTAAATCCTTTAAATATACTCATGGTATACTTATTTTATCAATATGTTTGAATGAGAAGATCGGAAAATTGTGAAACACAATCGATTCGAGAAATATATGAATGCTTCTTTTTCAAGACGCAGCATTGTCTTAATTCAATAGTTATGATGCGCTGTGCGCTATTTCTACATATCGAATGCCTCGCACTATCATGTTCTCTCTTTTACGAACATCGGAAATTTTGTTGTCTTCCGCCTAAGCAGAACCGATGCGAAATCGCAAACTCCTCGATACAGAAAGAATACTTTAAGGGTAATTTAATGTTATCACTAAAGTGTTAATAAAGAACGCAAAAAATATAAAAAAAAAGAGTTTGCCCGAAAAAATATGTACAAATTAATAGCGGTAATCTCTAAATTCAAAACTTTAAATTTGAATTTATTTTAAGGAGAAAGTTAAATAACGAAAAAAACGCGATAAAAAGTAAAAAAAACACAAGAATGCGTAATTTATACATGTGTTTCCTACATCTTATTATTTTTCGGGTGAACTTTTCTATGTTTTTTGTTGCAATGTAAGATTAGTATTAAAGTAAAATAAAGGCGTGCAAATGTAAACGATGATACCTCAAAAAAAATATAGGAATCCTTGGAAAGAAATTTTCTGCAAACTGGTAAAGAGAGCGCGTGCTATACAATTGTAATATAAATCGTACATTCCAAAGAAAAATGATAAGAGTTTAAACTTGAGTGAAATTTGTAACGCAGGAGAGGCGGATGGAAAGTGTTAAATTTATGTGTATATGTTTTGCGTGTTTCTCTGTGCTATAGTGCTTATATATGTTTCGTGCAATAAATCCGGGGACGTACCCGCCCATCGAACGCAGGTGCATCAAGTAAACGATAAATTAGCCGATGAATGTGTCATTGTCGCATGTAAATGATCGATTCGTCAACCTGCGTGGTGGCAGATGAAGCGTTTTATAATACACAGCGCAGCATAATATTTTTATATGATAATCTAATCTAATTTTGATAAGAGCCAAGAGAGTATATATTGATCTATTATATTATTATTATTGTTTGTTTCTGAAAAAAAGGAAAAAAGCTAAAAGAATGTCGAAGTTGCCCTAAATCGGGATTCGTTGTATTGAAATGAAGAATAAAGAAGATTTTGTATATTGCTATTTTTAATAAAAAAGGTAATATTGTGCACGGACACATCTTTATACTGATATTTTCGTCAAATCAATTTAATGTTTTATTTTTCTTTCAGAGAGAAGAGAATTTAACTCTCTGATGATAAAAATGTGTTTATTCGCTGTATTTTGCGAATGTCAATATTATTTTTCATTTTTACTGCGTTCGTCACTTTATAGTTATCGCTGCCAATCTTCTCTTGCAGAATTTAGTTTAATTTCTTTAATCACCATAATAATAATTTTATTTAATTTTATTTAATTTATAAATTGTTTTTAGCAAAATTATAGTTTAAATATTTAGAGTTCAAGCACTATGTCCCATTCACCATCATTATTTCACTCAGTCACGATTCACTTTTGTTATTAATAAAATTAAAATTGTACATACGTTCATTATCCAATGTCCACTCTTTCGAAACTATCGTCCGACTCTTCGTCGTCACTCGGAGATGCACTCGCGACTGTGTATCTCTTCATATCTTCGGCGTGGAGCTCCGCGTGGCAGCTGGGGCACAGGAACATGCTCATCGCGGTAAAATGTGCTTGCAGACAATAGTAGCAGAAAACGTGTTCGCAACTGGCGTGCGACGGCAGTATCGGAGTCTCCTCGCAGTAGGCGCATTTCGTCGCAGCGTTCATTATTGGAAATGACCTCACTACTGCCTCATTTCGCCTCCACAGTCTCATTATCATATGTTTCAGGTAGTGGAAGTTCACCATGGGTATGCCGATGGTAAAAAGCTCCATTAGACCGTGCCACAACAATTCTCTCGTCATGTACGAGTAACCGATAGTTCGGGGTCGATGTGTCGTTACTGACTGAGTGGATAAGCCTAGCAGAAGCTCTATTACGCGCGACTGTATACCTCGATGAAGAAATAGCAGCAGATTGACGAGCTCCAGGAGATTGATCGCATTTGATGCCCAATCGACGAACAATTTTAGTTTCTGGACGACTATCCCGTGATCTGATAAATTTTCTTTGGCCAATTTGTCCTTTAAATATTGAGGTAGAACGTTCAGAATCAAGAAGAGTATAGCTCTCTTCTGATTGATGTTAGCGTAATGCAGATTGAGCAGTCGCTGGCCGAACGTGGAAGATCCTTGTTGCAACGAGAACTTCCAGATGAAACATTTCAGGAGAGCGTCTATTTCTGCTTGCCACTTGTCGATTTTGCCAGGTGCGCCATAATTGGCGATTTCTTTGGTTTGATTCTTCAGCACCTTGTAGATCTCCGCATCCAACTGAGCGGCATCGATCTGATTTATTCGGGAGACGTAAAGTGATGGAGTCATTTTCATTTATTCGCAAAGAATTCTGAAAATAAATTTTTTGGTGTAATGATATATAATTTAAAAATCAATTGAAAAGTCACCAAAAATAGCTAAAGAGTTGTATAGTAACCTTGAAATACGCTATACATATGAATAACTCTATTAGAGCTCAAAGTACGTCAGAGAAACTTTATCATTTATAAAATGTGCTGTCTAACATGTGCTTATCATTCAATTACATGTGCAATTATAATTGGATGATAATTACTACGTAAACTGCCTCGATGCCTTTTTCGCTGCGTCATCGAAACTGATGGAATAAGTCAAAAAACCGAAAATACGAATAATCCCTAGAGCGAATTGAATGAAATTAGATGCAGACTAGTGATCGTGCAAAACTGTTACGTGACTTCGTGTCACGCGTTCACACTTACCGTTTGCGTCACCGAGATAAACGCTTCGTAGACAAAAAAGATCGAACGAGTCTTTCGATCGGCGAATCGCATACGAGCGCAAAGAGGTTAGAAAACATTGCACAGCTAAACAAGCACGAAAACTACATCCGTAACGTGTCGTTCACGCTGCCGGAATGACTTTTCGTTACGGCAAGAGTGGCAGAACGTACGCAGGCCGATAGTGGGGTGAGCATTCGACTAATGAAAATGCTCAACGAACGAAGACTCGGGCCGGCTCGGCGCGGTTCGACCGGGACTTCGTCTCAGTTCGGGTTTGTGTCTCGCCGCCGCTGCGCTCGGGGCGCGTCCGCTACTGCGGCTGGCTGTGATCTCTCACTTGACTACGGGCGCTAACGTTTTGAGGTTAAGCGGCACACAACACTGCTGTGACTAGTAGCGAGCGGTTCGAAGCACGGCGGGTGCCGTCGTAGTCATCGCGATCGCGTCGTGATGTTCGTATCGTGTTGTCGCGCGTAAGTCAGCGGACTCCATGTTGCCGCCGGTGGTATGACGTCATCGAGTGTCGGTGGTGCCGCGCGAGTATACCCGTCGTCTCTCTCTCCTATCATTGTCGTACGCAGTCTGCAGCCCCGCCGGACATCATGCTGCACTCGTGATAAAGTTTGATGTTCTTCTCCTTCTCTCTCTTTTTCTCTCGCTTCGCGTTCGCCGTTCACTCGCGAAATCCGGAGTGTGCAGTCGCCGCCGAATCGCATCGGTGGCTGCCACGGTGTGTGACCTCGCCGCTTCTCCCGCACATCCTCCCTCTCTCCGTGTAATCACCGTCTCTGCTCCGCTATTGCCGAACGGACAAGACACCCGCGCCGAGCCGCACCAGTTACGCGCACGAGTCCGCACCAGCTCCGAAATCAGGTGAGTGCCAGAAATTACATAATGTCTTATAGTCGTGCGGCGAACAGTGGCCTGCGCCCCCTTCGCGCGCCGTAAAATCGATCTGCCATCGAATGACAGGTTAACTTGCAATTCGGCCAGGCGACAGCACCGCGAGGGAGCGTCGTCTCTCTCTCGTCGCCGGCTCGTCGTTTCTGTTTTCGCCTGCGCGATTTTTACACACTCCCGGTATTTCTACTCGCGCGATATCATACCATGCGTATTTTTTATCGCGTACATTCTCGCAAAGGCTCTCTTTCTCTCTCTTTTTTTCTCAAAGGAAATAGATATTTTCGAGAACATTCTACTTCGAAGAAACTTTGCTGCATGGAGCAAGTGACTCCGGCAAATAACGATTAAACTCTCGAAGTAGACAGTTCTCGAGGAGTTTTTGATTTACGCGGGGTTGCACAGGGATCATAGGGTTAAAGGGAAGCCCAATAACGTGCCTGAAGGTGCATGCAAGCTTGTCGTCGTAATATATGCCACAGTACACGTTCCCGTCCGGCCACTTGTTCGTCATCGCCGACGGTTTCTCGAATATCGAATGTCATTCGCAATCATTACGTTAAAATACGAGGTGGGGAATCATTATCATTAATATTATTATTACTATTACTATTATCAGTATCATCATCGCGTTATTATTGTCGTGATTATTATCACAATATATGATAATACTGTTTATTTGTTTCACTGATATTATATAATTTCAAAATATTATATAAATCATAATTATTTCTCTAATTAAAATATTGTGTCTATTTTTTTACTTACAATCATATTGAAGTGACAGAAGCTTTGTGATTATTCTGAAAGAAATATGAATCAGATTGAAAAGTCAAACGCGGATTAAGGTTTTATACGCAGCCAAATTCAGACAGTTAAAACAGAAGCGGCAATGTAATCATATTTAAAGTGCGAGCACATTGCCGCGGAATGTATATTGGAGTGCATTGCACGTTATCTTTCTCGCACATGTTTTGTCCACTTCATGTAGAATTTATGAAATATTTCAATTAAATCAATCCTATAAAATATTACATTTAACGAGATCTAGAATGTTATATTAATAAATTTCCATTAATGCTGTATATAAACTGTGATTCTTCAAAGACAAAAAATTGACAGAAAAAGCAATAAGAACGAGTAGTGCGGTTGTCAGAGCGTAAAAATTATTAGCTATTATCAAAAGATAAAAATCTTTTTATACCAATGGATAATAGCTAATACTTTTACTCTCATAACAGCGTTTTTGATTCTTGTTGCTTTCTCTGTCATTATTTGAATTTCTATTAGCTAGCAAATATAGTAAAATTAGAAAATTTCTAATTATTATCTTTTATTGCACAATATAGAGGATATCCTAACTTTTATTCATACGTTTTTTCATTGCCGAGTATCACAAACTCGACCTTTTTTCACTGAAAAAATTTATCAGGCGCTATTCTCAACTTTCAGTATTTAATATTTTGAAATTAATCTCTTAACTAATTTTATTGATCGCAAATTTATAACTATTTTTCCATGTTATCTGTTATTTAGTTGAGCTATATTATAATAATTTAAATTAAAGAAGCAAAATCGAGACTGCTTTCTATGAAAACTATTTGCAATTGAGGTATTAAAAGGTATTTTCGTCAAAATGATCCACTTGCATGCAAGATTTGTCTATCACCTGAGTACGGTGCTCGCGCGTGGGCATTCATACTGTTCTCTACGTTATTTCGCCGCCGTGTTGCTTTGACAGCAGATCGACAGACGTAAACAGCCGAGCATGTACGTGATTTGCATATCCATTCGTATCTCTCTCTCTCTCTCTCTCTCTCTCTCTTCTCTCTCTCTCTCTCTCTCTCTCTCTCTCTCTCTCTCTCTCTCTCCGTTCCTCTGTCTCTTTCTCACGTCTTGTTTATATCGCTCTTGGCTCTGACCTTAATTTACGGTCCGTGGCCGCCGATGTGGAAGGCTCGTTCGCGCGAACGAACGAGCGAGCGAGCTTTTCGGCGTGCTCGCGCACCTGGCGACATTATTTATCGACGCGCCTAAATCCGTCGCGTCGCCGCCGCGTCGAAGCGACGCATGTTGAAATGTATCGTGTACGTCGGATTGTATAGTGGACGACGAATCCGTCGTACACGATATTATCGCTGCAGCTGCAGTTACAGTTACAGCTCGGTGGCTCATCGATAAATCAGATCGGCTGTGCGCGCTACATACTCTTCGCATTAGCCGTGCGTGCAATGTTTTATTTCGCGGTTCTATTACGTACACGTCCGCTATGGGAAATATACAGTCCAGCCGTAATTATATTGGAGCTCTCTTCTTATACTTTACGCATAAAGATTCGCCCATCTCAGCTATATTTAATCCTATTTGTAGGAAATATTTTTATTTGAAATATATTGCTCAATTTATACCACAAGACTTTATAATCGCTAAAGTATAATAAATGAATCGCAAATAGCAATCTTCTTATCGAAAATTTTGTAGGATGCCTAATATTGGGAAAATATGTAATATTTATTTATTTAATAAAATTAAAATATGTTTTTGTGAATTAAGATAGATATACATGGATAGGATGGATAAAAAAATTACATTTTTTGATTAATTAAAATTTATTTCAAGAGACTTTTGACATAATCACTTAGTAGTAAAAAACATTCAGCTACACGAAAATTAATTATGCATACGGCGTATGCGACGACAAAATATTTGATAGAAACGAAAAGGAATATTCGTTTTACGTAATCGATTTCGCGATCTATAGGAGAAAAAGTTCTTCTGAACATTACATAGACATTGTGCGCAGAGAAATCGCGGAATAATTTTATAGGCGGCACATGGCTCCACTTTATTTGACGAACGAATAATTTATTCGGTCGCGTATCCAAGTGCAGCACGGCTATTGATCTACTGCTCGTGACTATCGCGAGCGAACGGTAATAGAGAAAAAATTTAAGTACACAATCGTACGCCGTTTCATTTTAATCTTTCTGATACAGTTGTAACACGATGCGTACAATTGCTCCGTTTTACGCAACTAGAATTAAATTCGTAGAATGATAACTTCTCAACTCTTCAATCTTTGACATCTGCGCGATTGCATCAACTCTATTTCTCAATAGGAATTATATTTGATGAAAATTTTTAATATAAAAGTAAGGTTTTGTTAATGGAGAAGGTTCATATATTAGAAAGCAGGTAAAAGCGAGAAAATATATGACGATACACGATATCAAGGACGTACGCTGAGTTCTAAATGTTGCAAGAAAAGCTAAATAGAATGAAATTTGTTTTACTTAATGAATTTTGGAAAAATTAAAGATATTTGTGTTATTAAATTATTTCCTTAAATTACACTTGAAAAGTTTATACATTTTCAGGCTTACAATTTTTAATTCCAAGATTTTTAATAATCTGCATTAGGAAAAACAAATTAGAAAAAATACGATAACTGTTATCAGTCCGCAGTTAAAAACACGAGAAATTTCTATCATCGCGATATCGACACGCCATCGAGGAGGGAGATTCGCATGCAATATCGTCATTTTATTAAAATCATATTCGATAACGAGTGCGGGTGCACATTGTGTCTGCAAAACAACGGATATTCAGCTGTAGTCGAATGACCACTAGTTGGACTGGTTAGTAGTTTACCCACCGTGTTTACCGCCACGATAACGCGTGTTTTCGCTCATACGGATCGCTTATCGATTTGTTCGCCATCATGTTTCTCATGGATCAGGACATTAATCGCGTATTTCACGCTTTACTTGTCTGCCCTTCGACTGTTTCCTTGTACTTAATAAACAACATCATAATTAATAGTAAAAATGGAAAGCCCGATTGTTAGAGCAAAGAAACAATTTATTTATTAAATTGGATTGAATTAGGTAAATTAAGAATCAATAACATATTTAATTAAGAATTAAAAGAGTTAATAAAACAATTAATAATTTTGAATTGAGATACTGCAACTATGTATAATATTTTGTGTGTAGCGTTTTGCGACGCTTATTGCATCAATAATTTCGTATTTCTTATTTTTGAATTGAATGGAACTTTATACACGCGTAAAATATTGTGCCAAAAATTTTGCATAGTTGCAACGTGCTGCCATCTCGTGTTTTCCACGTTTTCCTTCCCGTATCGTGACCTCATCGAACGGGGTCACGCGTGTTCGGGCATTCGTTCGTCAAAGAAACATTTCGCTAGCGAGTTTCCTCTTTTGCATTAAGTCAAGATCATATCTCACTATTTCTTGAGAGATACCGTTATCTTAAGTAGTCATGCGAGAATCTTTACGAATCGTTTTATGATCGAAGAGCAATTTTAAGACGATTTTAAGAACTTTGACTTTTTTTGAATAACGATTATATTTTTGTATCCAGAGTTCAGCGATTTACATTTAGATAATTATTAAATATTAAAGGCAGATACTGTTATTATAATAAAATATAGTCAGTTTCGTATATAATTTCGTAGTTTAAACGAAAAGTATTGTGCAAAGAATGGATTAATCCAGAGAAGTGAGAAAAAGAATACACACACAATTATACTGAATATTGCACTTTGTATTTTTGATGCATTTGAAATTATCTTGATGAATTAATTAAATTTGTCATAACACCATTTGGACAAATTTAATTTTAATAAAATGATATGTTGCACAAATAATACATTTTTTACGACATTATTGATTATACATTTTTTT